GCCGGCTTGGTCCCGCAGCGCTGCCTCCCCTCCCCACCTAACCCCAGACCCCTCATAGCCCCCTTCTTCCGATAGTTCGACATATCTGATAATCCGGCACTCCCTGGGTCCTAAAGGTGCCGGATTATTGGAAGTTTACTGTAGTTTGTTTGTCCCGAAAGATCTACGAAACGGCAAGAGCTAGAAACACCAAATTTTGAACAGATACTACTGATTTCCTAACTTAAAAAAACTGGATGGGTTATCTCTTGAAATTGGTTCCCCCGGTTCCCCCAGAGCCCCAATTGGGCCCACTGATAATTGGCTTTTAGTAGTGCCTGATCATAGAAAAAAAATCAATATTTTGCACGGATACTACTGATTTCTTAACTTAAATAACTGGATTGGTTACATCTCGAAATCGGTTCCCCCAGAACCCCAATTGGGCCACTAATTAGCATTTAGTAACGCCTGATCATAGGCATTTGCTGGACTCTTCTGTTAAGCATGTCACATAAACTGCAACTACGAGATCCTTTCCCTATGATAAAAGAAAAAGTATTTCCAATAAAATATGTTATGTTAACGTAATCTATGTAGTTCATTCACCACATCTTTTGTTATTAAGAAATGAGTTAAATGTAAATGTGTTTTGTAAGCACATCACTAGCTATGTTAATTTAATCGTAACATGCACTCTAGAGCATAGACTTAATTTCCGAGATACTCTCATGTCTTGCAAATTAATTCTCAGCCCAATTTTTGAAGTGACGTATTGCCAAGGTTGGCACTGACCCTCCATTTAGGAGATAAGTACACAGCCCATTTGCCTCCTATGTGGAAGATCTGATGTCTTCCTTTACATTCCTAGATAAACCAGAATAATCCCTTGTCTTTGTTAATAAAGAGCCCAACACTATCACACCCTTACACTTCTTGTTTTGTAGGTTGTTCAGTTTCTTATTTAGCCTCATGTTAGTATGCCAATAGGCATACATTCTGAGGCATTCAATATTCAAATGATAGACGAGAAATAGATCTCTTATCTGCTACTTGAGAGTACCTTCCTGAGGTGTCATCTCCTCTCCTAGGTTCTACAGATTTAAAGGGGTAACCGGGCTCCCGATTATCTTGTAAGCACTGACATACCAGCATACTTATTGAGGTACCCAGTTAACCGGCATCTGACCTGGTCCAAGCAACCTCCCACCCATGGAGCGATGTGGCAAGCCACTTAACCAGTTAAATATTTAGCTATCCTGTTGTTTTTACATGATTTATTCTTGATGAATGCATGCTATTATTTATCATATTATCTTCTTCTAGGGCAGTGTTTCTTAAACTTTTTAAGACCGAGGAACAGCAAACATTTTTTTTTAAATGAGGAACACCAAGAGTTTTTGGTTGAGCAAAAAAAACCCACCACACACACACCTTGCCCCCTGAACACCAGATGACACTTTTATTGACGACGATATTCGCTCACTGCCAATGATAAATTAAGTATCTTTTTAATTATCTTTTGAAAAAAGTGGAACATCTTTTTTAATCTAAGTATCCCAAATATAATCTGTCAATCACTATCCATTTAAAAAAAAAAGTTGTCCAACAAAGAAGGAACATTGTTTCTGGCCCCCCTCAGCCGTCCTGGGTAACAAGTGAGGACTAAAGGCAGTGGTG